GGCATGGGCAGTCAGCTCTGTCACATGCTAGAATACGGTGTGACCCTGGGCTTGTTATATGACCCTGAGTGTTGGCTGCTGAAAGCACATTGAGCCAGGGCACCCATCAGACAGTTGCAAAGATCTAAATGGGCACAAAGGCCTGGTGCAGAGCTGTACATAGGCCACATGTGTGTCCAGAAGTCTTGGACTTGGTAATCTGATGCCTGATAGACATGGAGAAGCCTTGGTTATGGGCATTTTTTTTTGGTTTTTCGAGACAGGGTTTCTCTATGTAGCTTTGCACCTTTCCTGGAACTCACTTGGTAGCCCAGGCTGGCCTTGAACTCACAGAGATCCGCCTGCCTCTGCCTCCCAAGTGCTGGGTGTGCCACCACCGCCCGGCTCGGTTATGGGCATTTTCTGTCCAGTCAACTGACCTGCTTGGTAGCTGCTGAGCTTTTCTGTAGTCTGAGGATGCTCAGGCTTCATTGTGCATGTGTGTTGGGGTGATGGACCTGCCTTTCTCCCGTGGGAACTCTTTCCAACAAGCAAAGTGCTCAGGCCTCTACCATCCCTTCTCCTGGCCTTCTGTGGAGGGAGCAGGCAGCATAGGCCTGCTTGTTAGTCATTGTTATTTTCTGGGCTTTTTGGTTTTTTTTGAGTTTGTCTTTTGAAGACAGAATCCCATGTGGTCCAGGCTGACCTCCAGCCGGCTATGCAGCCAACAAGCTGCTGGCCATGCCTGCAAGACCCTGTCCTCTCCTCCTGTCTCCTGACCCTCCTGCCTCCACCTCCCAGGTGCTAGGATTACAGGTATGTGCCACCACACCAGCTACCGCTCTGTTCTCGAAGAGGCCTAGATGATTTCATGGTGTGAGACTCCTGGTCACACACAGAGCAGATAGAGCCACTGCCAGGGTCCCCGTTTCACAGATGAGACAAAGGCCTAGGAAAGTTAAAAGACCTGCTCACTGTTGGCACCAGATTCAGAACAAGGCCTCATGGGCACGGTGCTGGCTCTATGCATTTCACTCTGTATGCTTTTGCCTGGTGACAGCAAACAGCACACATGGCATGCTTCTCCAGCTTCCCAGGACATCAACACCCGCACTCTCGCCAGGCACCTGCCTTCCCCACCTGAGGTTCCACCACTCCTGGTTGTAGACGGTCTTCGTAATCGTGCCATCAAAGACCTTCCAACGAAACGCATCTACCATGTAGCTGAACGGGATGAAGGCAATCTTCTCCAAGGCCATGCTCAACAGGTAGTTGACCTCCTCCTCTGGGGATGGGGTTGGGGCAATCAGGAGGCAGCTTCTTGGTCCTCCCTTTCTTCAGCCTTGCCCTGAGGGCTTTAGTCCCCCTCTCCCCAGGCTCAGGCTGCCCTTCCGTTATCCCTTTGATCCCCATCACCTGCATCCAGGTACTGTTGTCCAAGCAGACCTCTGGTGATCAGGTGCTTGTGGGAAGAGGCCGAGAGGGTGATCACTGACCCCACAGCCTCTTCAAAGGCTGGGCTGGCCCCTTCTTGGTAGATTATAGAGAGGTTCTGGAACTGCAAGTAGTACTGGATATGGCCCATCTGGTGGAAGATGGAGAGCAGGTCTTCTATGGTCACCTCGGTGCACTTCTTTACCCTAGGGTTAAAGGGGAGGGGTCAAGGAGCATGGGGATGCCCTGGCGACACTCAAAGCTTCTTCATCCAAACTTCATGAGGGCATCGAGGCCACCAAGCTGGAGGCCAGAGGGCCTTGGCTGCCATATTTTCCCACTCTAGACCCTATATCCACCCAGTGACCACGTCTGCGCCTTCCTGCATCCACTTTTCTTCACCGTGCTCCTGAATCTCATTCCCCTCTCCCCTGCCCTGCTCTCCCCTGCTCTGCTCTCCCCTGCTCTGCTCTCCCCTGCTCTGCTCTCCCCTGCTCTGCTCTCCCCTGCCCGCTCCTTGCTACATGGCCAGTGGAGAAACAGAAGACGGGTGGGAGCAGGGTGCTGGCTGCAAACTATGCTGGCTGTAGACACCTGACGTCGTCAGGTCTGTAGAATTTCCAGGATGAGGCATGGCATTCCACATCCCGCCCGTCAACTGGCCTCTCCAGCATTGATTTTATCCAGAAGTCCGGTGGGACAGGCAGCAGGCCCATAGAGGTAAAGAAGATGTCAGCCTCATGAAACATTTTTTCAGGCTTCCAGTGCTGTGGGGAAAAGGGGTCCCGTGGTTCTGTCAGCCTGTTTGCCCAAAGGGATTGTGGGATGGGGACATCCAAAGGCTCAGCACTGACCTGGCTCTTCATGATCTTTGTGATATCCTCCGGTGGCTTTTTTGGGTAGGGCAGGACCAGGTCTAGGATGTTTTCCCACGACTGAGCCCACATGTTCCCTGGAAAGGGGGTGAAGGGGCTAAGGAGAGGCAAGAGTGGCCTTCCTGCCTGTCTCCCTCGGCCACCAGTCTGGCCCTTACCCAGGAGGTGGGCAGGGATGGGCCCCCGCAGGTTGATGAGCTCAGGCCCATAGTATTGGTACAGTGAGCGGCGCACATAGGCATGCAGGTTCAGGTAGAGCGGTTGCAGCTCCTCATAGAGCTGCTCCAGGTCCTGCTCAAAGGTATCAGACTCGTACTTGGACCTCCACAAAGCCCCCATGTTTTCGTACCCTAAGATAGGAGAAGAAACTCAGCAGTGCCCACCGGACTCACCAGTGCTCACTGTACCATCATGCATTCAATGAGCTGGCAAGAAGGAGACCCAGACACGGTCCAAGGAATCATTTCTACCTTCCTGCTCCTCAGGGGGGTCTTAGGTGCGAACACAACCTCCCAAGGCATTGCCTACTCTAGACTCATTCAGAGGTAGAAAGCATTGAGTGACTCCCACAGTGGGAGCTCCTGGTCATGCCTTATAACGTCTTATCCTTTCCTATGGCCATGTCCCAAACCCCAAGTCACCCGAAGCCCTGTGGTCATGTGGGTTTCTTTCTGATCTCCTAAAACCCTGGTTTCCTCCCATTGTGGTGCAGGGTCTCTGTGAGGATACTTTCTTTCTTCCTGCCGGCCCGCTATTCATCTTTCCAGCATGAGTAAATGTCAGAGTGACCTGACCTTTATATCTGAAGTTCTCCTCTTCCCCTCTAACCTCAGCAGCCCCTTCCTCCACCGCATCATATGAAGCGGCATTAGAGATGCGTGTGTACTGGATGAGGCTCACCTCCCAATCAGACTGCCAGGAGAAAGTCCATAAGGCAGACATCTGTCTTTTCACTTACAAAGTCTCAGGGTCTCCCCAGCACCCAGCCCACAGTGTACTCTATCTTATTATCAGGACCCAGTGACAAGGCTCATGTTCCCCCCCACACTATTCACACCCACTCTGCTGTTGCCTGTACCCTCTGAAGATTTGGCTTCTTTCTTTTCCTGGGCATTGACCTAAGACATCATGCCCAGCCTGCTTACCATTATATTGTGCAGCCTCGTTGCTGAGCTGTACATAGTACTCAAAGATAGGACGAATCTGGCGACCCACGGCATCCCGCCAGCCCTGCCAGGCCCATAGGAGCTCCTTCTGGTCCCTGGAGGTAGCCATGATTTCTTCGAGGTCTGTGCCCGGAATAGGAGCCACACGTAGGACACCATGCCCACCTATCTTTGCTCTCACCCACCCTCGGTGCTTCTTCAGCAAAAGAACACCTTTGAGGTCAGGGGCAGGGCTTGGTTGCTCACCAGGCTCCAGAGACAAGCATGGACCCTCATTCAGGCACACTTCAGCTGTACTATATGTTGTCTCCATGTAGGTCAGAAGTCTGTTGTACTGGGGGGGGCGGCAGGTGTCACCCAGGGCAGGCCCATGCCTGTGGGCCCACTCCCAACACTAGTCCCACCAGCCAAGAGAGGTAACCTGGTTAAAGTACCCCCTCCTCCTCTAGAAGAAGCGCTAGTTCCACCCACCAACACCCCCTCCTGCCCCAGATACTCTTGGTTCCCAAGCAGACCTGACCCACCCTCCCCTGGGGTGCAGAAAGCGTGTGCTTGGAGGCTGGGGCTCTGTCTATCACCTCCCGAAGCTCCTCCGTGGGCAAGGCCGACTTGTCTACGTTCTGCAGCTTACTCAGCATGCGCTTCACTTCCGGGTCCTGGAATTGGTCTGTCTTAAACAAGCGGGCTCGGGTACTAAAGTACAACATGAACTGAGACCTCTCCACCTCCTTCTGCAGCTGGAAAGAAGGTCATCATATTGATTGTGCAGGTTGGGGGATGCAGTACGGGTCCCACACTGAATTCTGAGGCCACAGCCTCAAAGCCTGCTTTAAGGGTCCAGAATTATTGAAGATTTGCTAAAAGGGAGAGGATGCTCAAAGTCCTTAAAAGCAAGGAGGTAAAACTTGCAAGGGCAAAGAATCCAGAAATTCTTACGTAAAGAAAATTCAAGGCCACTGAGATGTAGTAGCCCACTTTGATGTATGATTTGGAGTGTCCCTCTTTCCACATACGATGGACACAGGGCAGGAACTATGATCCCCAACCTCCAGAATCCCTAAGAAGATCAAGGGGAGGGAGGATCTAGGGGGAAATGGTACCACACCATGTTCTCTCGATTTTGCCTGGTGATGTTGGTGACATAGTTCCAAGTGGCCTCCATGAACTCGCTCAACACAACTTGGGCTGTTTGCTCATAAAACTGCAGGAACATCTTCGCTTGAGTTTCATTGTAGAACTCATCTGCAGGGAAGGGGGTCATGTGGGCCTGGGGAAGAGACTGCCCCTTCCCAGTCCTCTTATTTGGTCCTATGCTCCTTCAGGTCCCAGCCATACCTAAGTTTGGCTCTCCCACAGTCCTGAGCCATGACAAGAGCTGCCCATAATAGAGGAGCACAAGTAGGGAAGGTCCAGGGCAAGTCCATCTTGTTCCCATGACCAAGAGAACAGCGGAGCCAGGAGAGGCAATGGCCAATCACGAGTCAGCTCCATATTTGTGACATCAGGGGCCAAAGGGTCTACCATGGAATGTTAGAATAGAAAGACTGCCCACCCAGCTTCTTGTGCAACTGCCCCCATTATGCAGATGAGGACCATTTGAGGCCCAGAAGAGTCAAGTCATGTGACTTGGTGTACGTGGCTCACTAGCGGCAGATCTCAGAGGAGAATTTGACTTTTAAGCCAGAACTTATTCTATTTGGTGACTTTTCCCTGGGTTGGAGGAGCCCTGGGCTTTGGCTAGGGACTGATGAGACATCCCTCTTCATAGGCTGGGGTCACTTGTGTAAGTGGGATGTTGGATGGGGAGAGTTGTTGGATGGATAGATGGATACATGGTGGATGGATGTATGGATGTTACATTTTTGGGTCTTTAGACTGAAAACCTAGTTGTTTCCCAGGTTCTTCTAATTTGGCCTCTTAGACCTATATTTTTGGCCTTTTTCTCTCAGGAGACAAGTGATCAACCCCAGGGCTCCTTTCTCTTCCCCTGATATCTGCTTTAGTAGAAGCCATCAGGACTCTGTGGGGTGTGAAGTGTGGCTGGTCCCCTCCATTCAGGGTCCATACCCATGAATACCTGAGACTGGTTTCCAAACCAACCATGGGACCCTGTTCCCTGGTAGCTCTTGGTGACTCCCAAGTACACTGATGCATAGACTTGGGGAGAGCAGCCCAATCCATTGCACTTTAGGGTTCTTTCTTGGACTCACATCCCTGTGCCTGCAGACTCCTTACACCATGTGTCTCCTTTACCCTCGGCCCAGGACCCCCACCCCTTTTACATGTGCTGACACCGTGGTCACTGACACTGACCACATAACTCCACCCCCAAAGATTAGTCATTGTTGTCAAAACATTTAAAATCTGAGGAAAGAGGGTTGGGCTGCTTAAGCCCTTCTTGCTTCAGGCATAGAGACATTAAGACAGGATTTGGGGCACCGGGCATGATGGTAAATGGCAACACCCCTGTCTAAAAGAAGCATACATTTTTGCATTGTTGAGACGGGGTCTTGCTCTGTAGCCTAAGGCTGGTCTTGAACTAAAAGTGTTTCTGCCTTAACTGAGGGAATTCAGGAAGCCAAAGCATGTATCACCATGCCCAGCAAATGCAAAATGCAGAGCTGAGCTAGAAAAGGAGAAAAGGGACTCCAGACAGTAGTCAAAGGATACAATGGACAAGTGAGTAGCTGCTGGAGCTCCTGGCAATGTTGGGGAGGTCACAACAGTGCCTCTGCCACAAAGCTGCAACACTGGCACCTGGGTCCAGCAGCCAGTCACCACCTACAGTATAGATGTGACATCTTTCATAAACTCAGAAGCCAGAAGGCTTGATTTCTTTTTCCTTCCTTCTTTCCTCCCAGCCACGACCCCTTTACAGGAAGGGTCTCTTGGAGCCCGGTCTGGCCTTGGACTTCCCTAGCTGAGGATGGCTTTGACCTCTTGAACCCCCTCCTCTCCCCTGTGCTGCCAATCCTGGTTTATGTGGTGCTGGGGGTTACATCCAGAGCTTTGTGAATGCTAGGCAGGCACACTATGGCCTGAGCTACCTCTACAGCTCGCATAGATGACTCGGAAGTGAATCTTCTCAGAAGAGAAAATCTAAGGTCAATTGTGGCTACAGTAGCCAGCCCCACAGAGAACTTTGCAGGTACTGGACACTGTGAGGGGACTTTTACCGTCACAGTCCTTGTAACAAACCCCATTTTCAGATGGAGACAAGTAGAGGGGCTATGGACCTTGCTCACAGACACACAGCAGCAAATAATGGAAGTTGGACTCCAATCCAAATGCTCGGGTTCCAGACAATGACAGAGACAGTGAAGTGGAGCAGATCCCATCAAGGAAAGACCTTGAAGTTGTCCTCAGATCTCCCCCAGTGTGCTGTGGTAAGCAACCCCAATAAATAAATGCAATTTAAAATAAACTCATGGATGAGTCATGAAAAATATGTGCTGGCCAGGTGGCCTGGTGTGGTAGTTCATACCTGTAATTCGGTGCTTGGGATGCTGAGGCAGGAGGATCACTACCTCCTCTTTCTCTGCCAACTTTCAGGTGGACTCCACCGCTCCTCACTCACCCAAGTAAACATAAATAGGAGTCTGAACATGTGTAATGTTTGAGAATGTTGGCAGATGCATATCACCCCAGGACTCAGGAGGCTGAGGCAGGAAAACTGAGCATCTGAGGTCAGTCTGGATTACATAGCAAGACTCCTGTCTCAAGACACAAAAAGTCCAAAACAACTATAATGTTTCAAAAAGTGTGAGGGAGGGACTATGATGATGACTCAGTTGGGAAAGCGCTTGCTGTGTGAGCCTAAGGACCTGAGTTCAAATCCCCAGATCCCCTATAAAGGCTGGGCGCGGCATTGCATGTCCAGTCTGGCAGGAGCAGCGACAGCAGGCGCTCTCGGGCTTCCTGGCCAGTAGGTTAGTGGAATTGGTAAGCTCCTGGTTCAGTGAGAAACTTTGTCTCAAAAACTAAAGTGGAGGGCTGATGAACGGACTCGGTAAAGGTGCCAAGCTGACAAGCTGGTCTCCAGGTCCCACACAGTAGAAGGAAAGAACCAGCTTCTGCCAGGTGTTCTCTGACCTCCACGAGTGCTCCATGGTATCTGCATGTGCACATGCCCCGCCCTCCATGCAACAAAAACAAGATAAGATGGGCTCAGGCAAGAGGGCATGGTGGGCAAAGCTCTTGTTGCGCCAGCCTGACAACCGGGAGTTCCGCCCACAGATTCCTTCCGAAGGAGAGAACAGACTCCTGTAAGTTGTCTCCTGAGCCCTACACTGGGTGCTTGAGCGTGTGAGTGCGCACACTTGCGTGCACACACGTGTCCAGGAGATTAGACTTTGCCAGGGTAACCACATGGTGAAATTCTTTGCCCTCAGTCTGGTGACCTCACGTTGCCCACAGCCCTGAAAGGCAGCACCAACCTCTGTAGTTTATAAAAATAGGAAAGGAGGTTACGTGACAATGACCTTCTTCTGGCAAACAAATGACAAAACACAGGTCGGGAAGAGGGCGGGGAGGGGAATTAAAGTCTGTGGTGTACGGACCGGAACAATCTAGAGGCTGTGTTTATGAGTTCATTGTCTTGCTGAATCGTAAACGTCCACCCTCCTTGCAAATCCAAAATTCCTCAACTCCATATCCTGCACAGGAGAGGCCTACACACACACACACACACACACACACACGCTAGAGACTGAGCAGTAAAAACCAGGCTAAGGATATTGGGGGTCGGAAATTGGGGCTGTGAACCCTGTGGGGGTGAAAATATCAGCAAAGCCTAGAGACAGTTTGGGCTGAGGCTCCTAACAGAGGTGGGACCAGGCTGGAAGGCAAGATTCTGTCCCAGAAATCTGACCAATTTCCATTTGGTCAAGAGCTAGGCTTGGTAATTAAAAACTTGAAAAGTAGATGCATTTTATGTTAAAGGAGGGGTATATACAATAATACACTGGTATCCTATTTACGTTGTGTATTGAGCAGGGAAAAGGCTGGGACCATGCACACCAAAGTGTCAACAGTGTTTAAATTTCTTGATGTTGTTATTATGGGCTTTTATTCAGAGTTTTCCAAATTTCCTACGTAAACATGTAGAGAAAAACTATTTTTAAAAAGTTCCTCAAAACAACACCCCTCAAAATCTAAGTAGGCCTTCCAAAAGATGGCTTAGGGTGAGGGCATGCATTCTGGGACGAGCAGGTGGCCTACAGCAGTCAACACACTTGTGTGGTCACTGGTTATTGCTCTGGTTATTGCTCCTTCTCCTGGGCAGTGCCTGTGTGGTGTGGCTCCATCGGGGAACCCAGGCTGGCCACTCACAAAGTGGACAGCAGAGCTGGTGTGGCGGGAATCTTAGTGACGGTGAGGTTTCTGCATGTTCCAGGGCCTTCATCCTGTAGCAGAGGGGCATCCAGGACCTTCCTCCTGAGACACCCACACAGGGGTCCCCGTGGAACAGGATGCGTGGGAACAGGGTAGTCCCTCCATACCCATCCACATGCAAAGCAGGAAGCAGCCCAGGGCATCTGCGTCTTTTCTGCTTCTTCTTGGGACGCCCCACCCCACCCCGATGCTACCTGCTTGCTGTGGCAGGACCTAGCTAGGCCACCTCACCCAGGCTGTTAGGAAGGGGCTGGTGGGGAAGGTCGTAGGGGATGGGGGCCACAGCACTTAGGGTTATTTGGGTTCCTGCTTTGAGAGAGACTGAGAAGAGGCAATTGGTAAAGGGTGCTGCTGGACTGTCAGGAGAAGGCAAGCGGCCCGTCTTGTCCCTGACTTTCCCCACAAGAGACACAGACTCGGGTGTTGGGGAAGACCTTTAATTGTATTCACAGAGACTGGATGGGGAATTCCATGTTAGAAGCTGGGGATCTAGAGAATGGGGGGGGGGCTGGGACTGGGGGGCAGAGAGTGGGTGGGGACAGGGCAGGAGGAGGAAGGCCCAGCTACAGTGTGTTCCACCCACACACCATGTCCCCCATCCAGTTTCTCGTGGGACACTCCGCTGCCGGCCTTGCCAGCAGGGTCACCTCAGGAGTGTCTGAGCTCCACCTCGGACCCAAACTGGGGGCCACGGTGGGGTCGGCGGAGGCTGTGGTGTTGGCGGATGCTGAAGAGCCGATGGGTGAGACCCAAGGTGGCCACAAGCAGGGTGGCGCCCAGGAAGAGCAGCACCCACTGGCCCACACGGGCCTGCTGTGGCTCCAGGTACATGCCCAGGAAGTTGACGCGGCCAGACTCGGGAAAGGGGCCTTCTGAACGAGCTGAGCGAGGAAGCAAGGAGACAGGGCGGTGGGCAGGACGACGGGAAGGCCGGGACCTTGTGTTCTGGTGTCCCTGTCCTTGCTCTGAGGTCAGACTGGAGGCTGTCTGAACTAGGAATGGGGTTCAGCCCTGTGTGATCTCTGGGAGCTGTGCTTGGGGCTGGAGGTGGGGTGGGTGGTAGTACCCGTTTCTGGTGTCCAGTTGTATTGTGGCCAGCCCAGGGTCTCTCCATGTCTCCTGTTCTCAGTGATGAGCCATTCTGTCAGTGGCTTGAAGTAGTTCATCATGGCGGAGGCTGACATATTAGGCTGGCCCGTGATCAGCTTCATGGCTTCTGGCCATGGCTTACTGTGGCCCAGCTTCATGGTATCCCTGGGGGAAGAAGCAGAGAAAGGAAACCTGACTAGAAACCACATGGATCCTCTTGCCCAGTCTGGCATTCTTTTCCCATACCCCGTTTCCCAGCATAAAGGGTCCTCTAGGATTGGGAGAGCCTGAGTAGGGCTGAGGCTGGGATGGAGAGGGGAGGCCTCAGGGCCCAGGGACTCCAGTTTCCTCCTGAAGGTGACAATGTCAAGGGCAGAACAGGTTCTTCTTGGCTGTTCTCTGCCCAAGAAACCAAACAGAAAATGCTCCCAAAATAGATCAGTGGTTTCTCAGGGCCAAAGAGGGTTCAAGGACACTCACGCCAGGAGCTTTCCTGCTTCTTTGGATTGGTAGATGTCACACTTGTGCAGGGGACCTGTGTGCCCAGCGGCACGGCACAGCGCCTCGTGGAACTGGAACTGGATGATGAAGCTGATGAAGTACCTGGAGTGGAGAGAGGAAACGGCTCACGGTGTGGGTAAAGTGCCCAGAGCGGAGGAGAGGCGCAGCGGGGTGTGGGTGCCGGGGAGACCCGGCCTTCTGACAGTCACAGGGGACCGAGCAGGGCAGGATGCAGTCAGGATGTCATTCCAGCCTTTGGGGTCATCGGAGCTCTTCCCAGATGTGCCTGTGTGGATGCTTCCCACCCTCCGGCTGCCTACATTCCTGCTCCAAGGGGATCCAAAGGACAGGCCCAGGCGGAGGTTAATGAGAGAGCCTATGAAGCTGTTGCAGGCTGTGGAGTTTCCATGCCTGGAGCAGAGGCCAGGGGTTGCTGGGCGGAACCTGTGGGTCTGGCAGGGCCTTCTGGGTAGGGAAGGCATTGGGCACCGTCTTATCTGAAGCCGCAGGGATTTCCTGGTAGGAATATCCCAGTTAAGGTCTGGGCAACCACACCAATTCCAGTTTTTAAACACTGTGAGTAGTGGTTCAGGCTCTGCCTTTGGGTCCTGGGCATAAGCCATATGCCACTTGTTCCCCTGGCACTTCCTCAGAGTGCCCAGGCTCAGGCTGCTGGCCAGAATGTGAGATGGGTTTTTCTAGAGAGTCAAGTCCCCCTTGTTCAATTATCCCTGCCTGGATAACTGTGCTAAGCGGGGACCCTGTCACGGGGTCCATCTCAAGGCAAGAGTGAGTGCTGGGACCTCAGAAGGAGATCCAGCAGGTGGTGGTGGCCCCACTGGGAGCCTCCCCCAAAAGGTTCTCTCACTAGGGCACTCTCTAGGTCAAGCCTGACGGGACCTAGCAACAACTCTTCTTGCTCCTTGGCCCTCTGCAGCCTCAGAGTGTGTCTGAGTAGAGTGACAGATGTCTTTTGTCCCAGATTCTGTCCATCCTACCATGTGCTGGACTTTAGTCCTGGTGTCAGGGCCTGCCTCCCCCCAGCTTCCAGAGATTCCTAGAGGCAAGAGCTATCAGAAGCTTAGCCTTCCTGAGAGGCCTTCTTTGTCCTCTGCGCCTTGGCTCCCGGGTAGCCTGGGTACCAGGAACTCTGTCCTGGGGTCTACCCATCACAACTTCTTAGGAGCTCTGTGGATCCCACACCCCTGAGTAAGCTCCCCATAAGAACATAAGGAAGAAAAGGAGCTTCCTTGCCTATCTTATGCTATGGCCACACGATGCACAGGCCAGTGCTGATGCAGTCCCCTTAAGAGAGTAATTCACAATGGAGGACCACAGCTACCAGGTCCCCAGCATGCTCTCTGTAGACAAGTGCCTAAGTTGTTAGCCCTTGTGACCATCCCTGTTGAGATCAAGGCGAGAAAACGGATACCCATAGAG